CGCCGCCGCCGCCCGGGAATCACAGGAGGGCTGTGAAATCGGCCAAGCGCCGCGCCGCGAGAGCTCCCCACTCTCTGTCATTCACTGCATTTCAGTGATATATATATTGCTCTCCCTGTTTCTTGCAGCTAAAGGGAGAGATGTGAGGTGCATTCACCCCTTCTCCCTCTCTCTCTTTTGCTTTATTTTTTTAAATACCTGATGAGTATGGAGACCCCAACGTCCTCGCAGTTTGCGTATACTCTGCTCCAGGTCTCTTGAATAACCTTTTTCTCCGCGTCTGAGATCTCTTCACTTCTTTCCCATCTCTCAATCTCCATTTCTCCCTGGACTTTCTCCATGAAAAACAGCCGGCACAATCCTCCGGGAAGCCAGGAGGAGATAAAGAGGGATGTGTGCGAGCGTGCGTGCGCGTGTGTATCCTGCGAGAAGAGACAAGGTGTTTGCTCAGCGGGCGGGCGGGTGGCAGCGTCTCTGCCTATGTGTGTGCGTGCGTGCGTGCGTGTGTGTGTGTGTGCTTATATATGTAATTTTAAAAAATATCCTGGAGGTTTAGTGCCTGCGATCAGATCTGAGATCTCCCAGTGCTGTCCATGGCTGTAGTTAGCGTCAGCTCAGCTCGGATGTGTATGACTGACTGATGGGAAACTGCCTAAAAGTAAAATATTCAACGGCATTGCAAGACCAGCCTCTTTACCAATGTGTGAACGTGAGCTCACTTTCTCTCTCCTCCTCTCCCTCTCGCTCCCCCCTCCTTTTTTTCTCTTCTTTTTTTTTCCCCCGAAAGGGAGAGACGGGGAAGAGGTTCTGGGCAGCATCAGGACAGTGCGCGCAGCGGGGGGGTCAGCACTGGAAGTTGGGTTTTTTTTTTTTCCCCAGCCCTTGTAAACAGCTCAGAGGAAACGCAGAATCCAAAGTGTATGATTAAACTTATCCCAACAGCTGGCTCAGCTGCGCCCTGTCTCTTCGCTCTCTCCTGCGCTACCTTGTTTCGCAAGCGGTCGTGTTTCCAACGAAAAATCCTCGCTTGCCTCACGTTTCCAGGCTGGGCAGACTTGGGGCGCGAGGGGAGCGCGAGATACCCCTGGTCTCTGAGTAAATTATTGCCTGTCCTGCGGGGACTTTTTTCATTAGCAGAATTTGCTCTCCGTTCTCCTTTCATTACCAAACCGCAAAGGGACCTAGAGTTCGGGCACTCGTGGAATGAATTTATTGTTATTCTGAGATTGCACTGTTTCTGATTGATGGCATCTCGGCAGGGAAGCGGACAAGAGGAGTACTCCTGCCTCAGGCTTTCTGCTGGATTTGTGTGTGCGTTTGGGTCATTTTTAACCAAACAATGGTCCCAACTCACTAAAAATCCGGACAATAATCTGTAGCCCAGTCCATTTGCACAGCGAGAAGGAAAATACTACACAGACTTGTAATAACCGACAATCCCCCAGAGGGGGATCAGAGACAAGAGAAATAGCCTGTGAAAGAGTGGCTTGTGCATAGACACAACCAGTGCGTGCTGGCTCCCCCACCGCCTTTGCACGCTCGCCGAGGAGCGAGTGGGCAGACGGACAGACGGACGAACCGGCGGCTGCATCGCGGGCGCATG